CTCTGATCCTCCGCAGCCAACATTGTCCAGGAGAATATCGCCTGACCCTTGTCCAAACCTGGCTCGCGAGACGGCCTCTCTTGCTCTACCTTGGCCCAGCTGATTGCATACGACATGGGCATCATTGATATCCCAGTAATCATCGCATACTGTACCCCATCGTCCACCATGGTTAATTTCAACACGGCCTTCGCGTTCTGAGCCTCCTCCTACAAGCCGAACGTTGCCGGCGCTTCCTGTGCAAATTTGAAACATCAATGTCAGTCATTCCATAGTGAGCTCTGGTCAGTCAGCTATCCAGCCGGTCAATTAGCCAGCTAGGTAATCAGTAAGTCAGTAAATCAGTCGAAGAAACAGTCAGAACTAATAGGCTGGTAATCAATTTAGATGTTCGTTTCTTATTAGAAGTAAATTAAACTGAATCCTATTACAGTAAAGCGGGACACTCACTGCGTCATTTGATACGAATCTAACGCTACTCCCCGTGAGCGATAGACGATGCAACGTTGTCTACTAATTTTCAGTGGCAGTCTGAACAACGGGTCGTCATTAAAATCAATCCGTTGCGCGCGCGTCGTGGCGTTGCGCTCTACATAGAATCGTGTCGGCCGACAGGCGCAGTGAGTGGCCGGCATCAATCCTAATGCACCAAAGTCAAAGTATAATTCTCTTCTTCGTGTTATTACTATTCGGTATTATGAAGCATTCATCCGGTCGGACTGATCAATATGAAGGAGGTTTTCAGATTAAGCAAGTAAATAAAGTATGAAATTAATATTTACTTCAGCATCTTTGGTATGGGCCTATGGTTTTACAATGTATTCCACTGTGTTGTTAATCGCAGTTATGTCAACAGGGATCGTTGTGTCAACAGGGATGGTGCCAGGGGCGGGGCGGGGCCAAGGCCCTCCTCTGCTGGGAAGAAAAACCTCAATTTGTCAGGGAGAAAAAAAATGTATTTAGTATGTATTTTCTACATATTAGTCAAAATCAATTAAATTTGCATTTGAAACCCCCTACTCCCTTTACCCAGGAACACTATCGAGAGATTTTGAGCGACGCCAGATTACGCCCACTTTTCTCTCGGCGGGGACATCAGCCCTCCATCCATCCGCCCTCCCGCACACCTCCATTGGGCACATCCTACCCCCGCCCCCCCCACCATTGGCTAAATTCTGGTGCCACCCCTGCGTGTCAACAATAACTAATGCATACTAAATATAAAACCAATATTGTAGTTGCTAAAAAAATGCTAATCTTTGAAAAACGTCATTAACGTTTGAGAATTAAATTTGTTACTCTTATCATTCCTTCATACTGCTGCGTACAGGATGGTACCCGGATGTAATTTGCCCTGTACAATCATGGGAAAAAATATGAGTACAGGTAGGCACTTACTAACACAAATGACGGATGCATCTTCATGATGTCCACAATTATGACGTTCAGTGTGAGAACAATCAAATATACTTGACTCGGATCCACTACATCTGACGTCATCTAAAATGATATCGCCACTACCTACGCCGAACCTAGCTTGCATTGGGGCTTCCCGTGCCCCTTCTGTGAATCCCAAGTACCTGCAGACGACGTTGGCGTCTTCCATGCTCCAGTAGTCATCACACACTGTTCCCCATCTTCCTCCCGACCAGACTTCAACACGGCCTTCGCTTTCTCTAGGAGTTCCAGCAAGTCTTACAAGGACATCTGGTGCAGGTGCCATTGCTGTAGTGTAAAATGTCAAATTCACATTGAATAATACTCTTGGTGAGATAAGTGATATGAACAGAATGTACGCTCAATTGAGATAATTGAAAATGGTTGCAAAATGTCACAAAAAACAACTCCACTTCCCAAGCCCTATAATGAGACTTGTTATATGTAGACCACTTGTGTGCATGTTTATCGTATGAAAATTGATCTTAGACGGTATCAAGTTCCCAATTAGCAATGAATTGGTCTTGGGCCATGTGGCCATAAATAATGAATAAATATGTTACTGTGCAGAGCCCCTTTACACTTTAACACTCTAAGCTTATCACAATTGATATTGACATTTACTCACTGTTACAAATTACACTTGCGTCTTCCGAGTGCCCACAATTGTGTCTTCCAATGCCTATATTACCACAGGACAAAAGGTCCGATTCTGTTCCAGAGCAAGCAACGTCGTCCAGTAGAATAGGAAAACTTTCGTCTCCTTGTCCAAAATGTGCACTTTGTAGAGCGTCTTGTGCACCATGGGTGAAGTCTAACTCTCTGCAGACGACGTTAGCATCATTGATACCCCAACCGTCATCACATACTGTTCCCCAATAACCGTTAATGTAAACTTCAACTCTTCCTTCGTTGTTGCCGCTTCCACCGACGAGTCTAATGGTCGGTTCACTGGATGAACGAGGAGATGGTGGATTTCCGGCTACGAATGTTAATACAGTATAAAAAAATATTGCATTAAAACATAGATGACATAGATTTACATTATGCCAGGGAACAGTGAAATTACTGTTCCCTGATTATGCGACACGTTGGTTCTGGGTTTATCTCATTTGCCAATTAAATTATCTACAGTGTTTAGTAGGCATATTCCAAGAGATCCAACAGGTCATTACTAATGTACAGTTTTAGATCGGAAAGAAATGCAAGAAAAGAAAGAGGGAAGAAGAGGAAGCGGAAAGAGAGTGTTTATCCAGTTCCCGATCATTTTTTCACAATTCACATTGGCGGATCTAGGGGTCAGGGGTCCTGACACCCCCCTCCCTTGGGCGGAAAAAAAGTTTAAAAATAAAAAGAAAAACCTAGTTTGTCAGGACCCGTGAGCTAAGAAAATTAGTCAGGAATGCTCATCACGCCATCTAGGAATTAAAATTTTTTCGGGGGAGGACCACCGACCCCTTTTATTTTTGGGGTTCATCGAGATTCATGGAAAAAAGAATACATAGGCCTATGTAACGTATGTATACCAGTTTACACGTAATAGGCCTACTGTAATATTAAGAATGGGAACAATTTATTTGACCATTTCCAAGGTCGGAAAGCCTTGAATTTTGAAGAACTTAAGTCATTAAAAGGCACCTCGGAAGTCGGCAAAGCTCATTTCCCGCCATTTTGAAGTCAACATTTTTCCGGGGAGAATTCGAACCTGCCTTTCTCTTTGGGGTTCATTGATTCATGGAATCGTTTTCAAGAGGGAGAGAACCTTGAATTTTGAAGAACTTAAAAGTCTTTAAAAAACGTGGAAGTGGTTTACATTGAAAATCCACAGAGGTGAGTGACGTAGGCGCCAATGCGTCTACATTGCACTAATGTGAGCCAAAAGAATGTGGCAAGTGGCATAATTGTGGTTTGGTGCGGCGCTAATTCGAGAGCGACGCTTATTCGAGCATGTACGGTATTGCGTAATAGCTTTATCAACAGACAAAAACATTTTAATTATTTAAAAATAATGAGGCAGGATAGGATACAACTACTGTAAAATACTAGCAGGCAACCGACTTACTATTGCAGACGACGCCAGCGTCCTCACTGTGAGCACAGTTGTGTCTGCCAATCCCCAAATTTGGACAATCAGTCAATCTATTTTCTGAACCAGAGCAAGTAACATCGTCTAGAAGGATAGGTACATCACCCTGTCCGAATTCAGCACGCATAGGGGCACTCGAGGCTAATCCTTGGTATCCCATTTGTCTGCAGGCCACAGCTCCATCAAGAATATCCCAGTAATCATCACATACAGTGCCCCATCCGCCGTTGGCGAATATTTCGACTCTTCCTTCATTTTCGGAAGCACCTCCAACAAGCCTTATTCCTCTGGTCTCTTCCAGAATACGTTGCGCCTCTGCAGCTGCTTCAGCCTCAGCTCTCTGGCGGGCTTCCTCTGCTGCTCTTTCTGCCTCTTCCAATAGACGGGCTGCTTCGGCAGCGGCTATATAAAAATATTTTCGGCATATCAATATAAGCCTACTATAGCTTGAATAGTTTACTGTAATTTAAAATTAGTTCCGAGCCTTCTCAGTAAAGGCTTACGCCTCATCGGTAACTCTGTCACTTGCATCAGGTTTTTCTTTTGTTATTCAAGTGAAGTAAAGATTGGACAGTTTTCGTTCATGTAGTATTAGTGCTATGTTAAAATTGTTATATTAATTATATTAATTAAGTTATTTCTTGGTCTTATTTGCACATTTGAAAAAAAAAAATAGTGGACATGGGGTGTTTGGTCCACATGGTATGGTTATTAACATTGAACTATTAAATATCTTTCCGATATTCTTTTGCATAGACTACCCTAGCTTAGATTCACTTGACTTCGGAATAGTCATTTTAATTTAGCTTTTAGAAATGGCAAGTTAAGTGAACAGTTTTAAACGCTGTCCTTACCTGCTTCTCTGGCGGCTACAGTTGCAGCATCAGCTATATTTTAACAAATAATATAATCAGTTAGTTGTACGTCGGGATGACATAAACGTTAATTCCTAGAGTTCTACGCATAAAAATAAAGCTCATGACACAATAATAATAATAATAATATAGTAGGCCTAATAGAGTTTACATTTTATAATATAATATGTACCGAAGAACTTCCCTTGTGGAACAATAAAATTGAGATATTGCGTAACGACGCGACCCACGTCCCGGATGCACTCGTCTGTGACCTTCCTATGTTCGCTGACCGCATGCGCAAATGATTCTGTGTGACATCATTATCCGTTTACTTACGTAATCCAAAGACTTCCACTTCACACAGGGTCAAATAATTGCTGACTGTAACAGAAACATAACGACCATTGAGGCTGCACTCCCGACTTATTCGGCTGTCGCGACTGATATCAAGGGCAGAAACAGGCTCACCGCATTGGTCGCCAGATTGGCTCTCTTCTTGAAGGCTTACACGAACGACAGCACCTACCAGACGATCCCTACAGCAATCTAATCGACAAAAATAGTAATATTACTATAATTATTAAATTAATATAACATATACTAATATTTAGCTAGGCCTATATAATGTTAATCATGTATATTAATCGAACATTGCGGATCTAGGATTTAGCAATTGGGGGTGGAATGCGATTTGTGAAGCACCAAGTGGGGTGGAGGGGCGTGGTTTTGACAAGGGCGGAGATCTGTTCAAAAGGTGAGGGGGACATTTCGTGAGCCCACATCCACCTCAGGCCCACCATGGTTGGGCCTGAGGTGCAAAAATATTAGGAAATAGCTCGAGATAACAGAAAATATCACTTTTATGTAGTAAAATTTATCGTCATCACATCACCATTATATAATCAAAATGAAGCGCCAACAAATTTCTCATTATGTTTTTTACCAGCGATTTTCGGCAAACATAGATAAATTAAAGTGAATAAATATTAAAAACATTGTCAATGATGTATTTAATTTAGTCCTACCTACTTCAAGCCATTAGTCCACACCATAGGGCTGAGGTGGGAACATTTGGGAAAATAGTACCTCTAGATTGCCGGAAATGACACATATAATAAAATTCATCATCATCGATCAAATTAATCGCTGTGATGTTACATTGAAAATAAAACTCAGTTGTCTTTGATGTATTTTAATTTACTGTACTTTTTACGTCAGTTGCAGATGTACCTTGTTTAAGCATTATATAATGCTAACAATGCGGCTCTTGTAGCCCTAGCTAGGAAAGGCATTCATGTGCAAAGCGGTGGTGTTTGTTAGTCCATGAAAAATGCACGCCGGGAAAGTTTTCCTTACCAGGAAAAGGTGACGTAATCTAGTTTAATGACGTATGCATGCTAACTATATTGTGAGTGTGACGTCACCAAAAAATAAATATTTTCTATTATAACCAAAAGAGAAAGAGGATAAACTTATAGGCCTAACTGCAGGCTGAGGTAAGTCCTACCTAGGCCCTTCCTAAATTAGGCCTAGGGTCCTGGCTGACACAAATATTCACGCTTCACATGACGTTGATTGAAATTTTGAAAAAAAAATGATGGAAAAAAATTAAAACATGAAATGAAAATATAGAGTGCATAAGAGAAATATTGTTAAATAATAATAAATAAAATATACCATTCCGGCGTTTTTGAACTTGGCCAAACTATCCTTGTAATGTAATTAATGTTAAATAATGATAATAATAATAACAATATTAATAATAATACATACCCTCTCTGTTGTACATGCGCACAAGGTTGATGTCAAAGGTCTCTTGGAGGTCGACCATCCACCAACTGTTAGGTTCATTCTCTGTGGAAGAATGTATGACATATTTCAGAATATACTCTAAATGCTTTTAGAACACGGTTTACAGAAGCCTTCCTCTCAATATTAATAAAATACTGTATACCCTCACCATCTCGGCGCCCTACCTCCAGTTCCCTGTTTCTACGCGTTTACAGTCTTAAGACCTTCCCAGACTTCGCAAAGACCACGTGACATCACCATGCAGCGGCGTAACGATGGAGTCGGGGGCCGTATTTCTTTCTGAGACTGAGCCCTTTCGGTGTTGGTGGGGCCAGTTTGGGGATTTTTTCTTGTCAGACAGGCCTGACGATGTCGTCGGATCAAAAGTTTTAAAATATAGTATTGCTTTTTCCAGTTGTTGTCTAAAAGTGGTGGATTCTGGAATTTGAAATAGATGGGGGCCAGGGAGGAACTTTCAGAGATGGAGGGTCTACCACCTCAGCCCCACTATGGGGCTGAGGTAATAAAAAAAATTTATGATTGTGGCACCTCTGGATGGCGGGAAATGGCACTCACATACTTAAAATTTTAATATAATTTTCTTTTTATCTCTATTAGGACGCCCTTTAATCCGCCACACTGACATAATATGATATACCGGTATGTCCTACAGTCGATGTCAGAGACACATTATGCTGCATGTATCAACAACACCTTTTTTGGTCAGGGTGATAGATCGAGGACCATGTGTGTGGGGCCTCCTGGAGTGGTCAGGGACAAACAAATTGTGACGCCGTATTCGATGTAACAGAAGAAAGTTCCTGGCGTCATTCACAAACGTTCTACGGAAACGCTATTGACATTAGGGAGCTTTCTTGCGCGACGACGGTAGTGACGTCACTAGAAAGTCATCTACGCATGTGAGACGGAATTTGACCGAATCTAAAAGTATTGTGCATGCAGAAGACGAGATATGCACGCGTGAATCCGTTCTAGCGTTACGTACGTAGTCGCACAAATCGAAAGTTGCCTACCGTCTGAAGGGAATCTCAAAAACGCCTAAGTAAGTAAGTACTTTAGATTAAAAACTCCTAACAACGCTTTACTTTTAAGCCTATGTTGAGTATAATTATCTCAGATATGAAAACGATCATTTTAGAGGTCGTAACCTACGTGTATGTGTGCAACTGTTTTGTCCGTAGTTCATGGTTCGACGATTATCGATGGCTCTTCCGGCCACGCCACCCCATCCAACGGAGCTCTGACTGGCTACCCCGCCAAAGGCGATTGGCACTGTCAACATAGTATTAAAATACTGTAGTTAATGTTCTGTTGAGGCCAAACTATTGATCACTCACATTAGATGACAACGTTGAACATGTATTAATAATAATAATAATAATTAATAAATAAATAATAATAATAATAATAATAATAATAATAATAATAATAATTACAAATGACTGTCTTCTGGACACGGTTCTTTTTGAAAATAATAATGTACAACCCAATTATTGTTAACTGCTTACTGCTACTATGTTTAAAAATAAATTAATGCTACTAATTTTATTGATGCAATATAATGTTTATATAGGCCTATTGGAAAATGTGTCTCCTTCAAGATGAAAAAAAAAACAAACAAAAAAAAACCAAATTTGTTAATGGAGCCAAGCGCAAAAGCTGTTATTATAGTTTCAATATGACTAAAGATAATAAATAGCAGAAAATAAAACAGCTTCCCAATATAGTGGAACATCCGTTTGAAATGCATCGTGGGTACATAAGGAGCAATTTTACCCCGTCCGCGCAGCGGCGCTGTAAATAAAATACATACATAATATAATGCTATACATTATTAAAAAGGTGCCGCTCTGGTTTGTTTGTTTTCTGTAGTTTCTTCACTCATTCAAATGTTCCATCAATTTTAATGCAAATACAGCTCATTCTTCTGCTATTTAATTTTTTGATATGAATAAATTATCACGCCTCAACATCAAGTTATCTGCACATTCCGCTATATTGTTATCAAATTGGGTCTTGTAGTTAATGTCGGAACTTTACTCACATGTATTGAACACCTCAACTTCACACAAAGTCAGGTAGTTGTTTACGTTAACGCTAACGTAACGTCCCTGGACGCCGTCGTCACCATTGCATATTCGGAAAGGGGACGGTACATTAATGTCCTCCATCGTAAATGCTTCGCCGCATTCGGCGTTGGACAAGACGTCTTCACTGTCACCGACACGAACCTGAGCATTGTTCAAGCGGTCAAAGCAACAATCTAAAATGAAAGGGGCGTAATTATGAAGATATACATAATTTTCAAGTTCTGCTGGGGGATAGTTTATTACCTGATATTGCTATATTGTTACGTTATTGTTTCCGTTTATTCATTTAAGAGCGAACCCTTGCAATTGTATTTCTAGGCAAAATGAATTTTACAAATAAAATAAAATAAATTATACTGAATGCTGAATGATATTTATCTTATCAGTATCGCCATGTAAGGTATCACTATTTTTTTTTTAAGTTCATGTAGATAAGAATTTTAAACACGTTAATAATAACAGAAATAATGTAATGAATATTTACGCCAAAATGGTTCCGGAGTTTGAACAAGTCTTCTCGGATAGACTATAAACCAAGACGGGGGAGGGGGTAACCCCGGTGTACTGGTCCATATAGCCCCTGTTGAGGACAGATGAGCGTAGCTGTACCAGTTTGCCGTCCAGTTCGGACACGAACAGACTGTATGACTGTACGCTCTGAGCGCTCTGATCTCCAAGAAGCGCAATGTAAATAATGTTATGTATGTATGTACCGGGACTGGTAGCATAGAGTTACCGAGGTCCAAGTAAAGTAAAGAGTTACATTATGCCTCCGTCTAGACTGGTTCTGCATGTTATATTATTAATAACGTACTAGCATGGAACAATTTAGTTACACTGGCCCTCAATAATCGTAAACTGCCTACCTTCTCGATTCTTCAGTCTAACGTAGCGGACAGT